TACTCGGGGAAAAAAAACTTGCTAGCTACTCCTGCTGCTGCTTCTGCTCTGCTTGCTGCCGCTGCCGCTGCTGGTTACAGTTGTTGTTGTTGTGGCTGCTGCGGTTGCTGGGGTGGTTGTGTGTTGCCATGTGTTGGCTGTGTTGGGGTCGTATTGGGGGGGCGCTGTTGGCACTCTCCTTTTCCCTTGGCCATGGCATGTTGCGATTCCCGGCCAGGCTTTTGCTGCCTAAAGAGCCCCAGCGTTGTTTCTTTCCCTAGCTTTCGCCACCCCCCTCTGGGCCACAAGTAAGAAGAGGCCATCCAGAAATAGATCCAGCGCAAAGGATCTCAAGGAACCCCGTTCCTTAGAGAAAAGAGAAAGCCTGCAGAGATACAGTGGAAACGGAATGGACTATGGTGGCAGAGTGAGCCAGAAAAAGGAATTCGAGCGCTCACGCTATCAAGAAGGAATGTGAATAAGTTTCAATGTAGATCACAGTCTGTGTGCATAGCATCACTTACATCACAGTATGTACCTGCAGCCCTTTTCGATCCAGGAAAAAATGCAAAAAACAGTGTTTTTTTCTTTAATTTGTAAGGCTGTATTGTTTTCAGCGGAGTCCACGGACGCGCTGACCGTATCAAATTGCACTCCTGGCCAGAAACAATTTTTGAACATGTCCTGCCCCCAATCCCACAAAGTGACCTGCCTCCATCTTCAAGACTTGAAAGCCAAAATGGGAGACCCACTGCACAGAACCAAAGCGGCTAATTACAATGGCGGCGCGACATCATGTGTGTTTGTTTCATGTTTTCCTTTTTTGAATTGGCTTTGTTCTTGAAGTTCTTCGTGTTTGATTATTTTTGTTTTGTAAGCCTGGACAAAACCCAAGAAACACCATCAAAAAAAAACCATCATGCGTTGATCTGTTTTTTCTATTTTTTTCTTTGTTTCATGAATGTGTCATTCTTCGATTCTCGTCGCAAACATTTTCTTGAAACCATGACTTCCAGACCCATGTTAGATAACTTTGCGAACAAATGTTTCATCACTGCTCAGATTACAGACTTACCTTTGGTGTGTGAACATGTTTTTGAATGACCAAATTTAAGGTAAAATTATATATATAGTGCATTTGGTGGGCGGGCACAAACGGTGTTTGGTTGCATGTAAAAGACAAATCGAACCAACACCACAAACAAAATCGGCTCACGACAGGCCACGGAACAAACAACTTGCCACGTGTTTGGCGGTGACAACAAAAGGTTTCACCTATTTTGTTGAATTTGTTGTGAACGGGTGCAAAATAGATTCTGCAAACACCTAGAGCACCAGCGCCAAAGTTTCTTGGTTCATTCACAACATGTTTGCACATATTTGCATTTTTCATTTGTGAGTCACACGTGCACTGAGGTTGAATGTGCAAAAAACATGATATTTTTTGGGGATGAAAGGGGCAGCCATCCACCCATTGACCCCTTGATGCGTGCGCATTTGGGCGTCAAGTTCTAGATTCAGCGTGCGCCGGCTCGCTGTCAGGCCCCATTGTGGTGAAAACCATTCGGGGAAGCATGTTTAACCTGGTTTGAGAACATGTGTTCCTTGGTCGGCTTTTGCCATGACAGTTCGCAAAAGAGTAAGAACATTCATTCAACCCGCAGCAAGTGCTTGCCCTCATGCATGCTGGTGGCAAGCAAGGTCTTCATTTGACGAATCTGTGAATGTGAACTTTTGACAAATTCAATAAGGTTCTTTTTTGCAAACAACATGTTGATGACACTTGAGTTGTGCTTAACACTTTGCCCCAGCTTGGCCGACATTCTTTCACGATGAGTATGTACCATGCAGCTTTGAGTCAGGATCCTTTCCAGCTTGCTGGTTTCATGGACATTTGGAAGCTACAAACTGAGCGGGCTGCGTGACACTTGCCAAGCTTCGATGCCAATGATTGTCAAGACACCTCAAGTTTGGGACACCACAGTGGCAATGGTTTGCCGTGTTTTTTCAGTTTTAATTGTACACGTCATGCGTTTTTGGTAGGTTCTATTTTCGTAGTAGGCCACACCATTTTCAGACAACGTTCCGTGTGACCAAAACTTCCTGAGGTTTCTATGCTTCATCACCATCGGCACAGCTGATGCATTTTCAATGCATCTTGGAAACATGGCATGTGTCAAGTTGACAGTCTACATAATGGTGTTGTCCACTTTTTAAGAAACCCACCCAGGAAAACCCATCAAGGTCAAAAGGAAAGTCGACGTTCCAACCCATTGGGCCAGGGGGTCTCCGCCCATGTTCGTTGGTCTTTGGCTTTTCAAGGTTCTCACCGGGTCGCGAATCAGGTCTGTGGATTCGAGCGGTCTCCCGACCCTGATGCGATCGGAGAAGGCCGTAGTAGAAGCCCGCAAGACGTTGGACACTTTGTGAGCAACCTTTCAATATACAGAGAGTTCTTGTTTTTCCATTTGCTTGATGTATAGAATAGATGCTGTGCTTGACACAACCGGATCAGAAAGGCTTTGAATTTCCTCTTGTGCCATGAAATGAAGGCCGCTGTGAAAGAGGACCTCTGTGAAAGTCAGGGTGGTGAAAGGCGCGGCTGCCGCGTGGGTGGGGGGACATGTCGGATTTGTGTTTGGCTTTTGGGTGCAATTCTTAGTAGCATTCAGGGCTGAAGGGTCTTGGAAAAACCGGTCTCGAAATTCTTACTCCAATGGATTAGCCAACAAAACTCTCCAGCTGAAGTCGGGACGCCACCAGTTGGGGAGATATCGTTGAAAGTTGACAGAATTCACTGGGTACATAGGTCACCTCGAGGCCGTTTGCCGCCACCTGTATGGAATTTTTGCTGTCAGATGCCCAGGTGTGTTGAGAGCAGATGCTCAGATCAGATCTTCAGCACCGCCGCTTGGAGTCATATAAGAGCTGGAGGACTTATTTTGTGACCGACCTGCAGTTCAGTGACTCTGCAAGAAGCAAGTTGGACAGCACTTGGGGCGCGGAAAGAAGGAAGAAACGAGAAGAAGGGCGAAGGAAAGAAGGAAAGAAGGAAGAAGAAGAGTATTCAACTGCTCTTTCAACTGCTTTTCAACTGCTTTTCAAGAGTATTGGTCACGGCTTTTCAACTGCTCCCAGCCCCGCCGTCGCCGACTGTCCACCCAGGCGGACTGTGCCGCGACGGCGGAGGGCATCAGCGCTTGCCCCGGAACACAGGCGGATCGGGTGGGTCGGGTGGGGAGGTCCGGGAGGTCCGGGCCGGACCGATAGATGGGACAAGAAGCTGTTTGTGAATATCACTGGAAGTGTTTACAAAACTGGTTCGTATGAATTGGTGCTTGCCTTTTCAATGCCATGACGAAGGGCGTTGAGTGAGTGAGTATGGAAGTGTTCCACGAAGGTTGGAACAATAGACAGGGTATGAAAGTGTGAACTGGAACGATATTTCTTTCCGACCGTATTTTTTTGAGGTGTTTGCAGTAGCTTCAGCTGCTTTTGATCTGAGATCTCGTGCCCAGTGTGAACATGTTTTTCGATGGATTTGCGCTTCAGGTTTGCCAGAACAAGTCCACCACAGGCACAACACTTCAGCTGCCTTGCCGACACGGGTTGGAGAGTTGCAGCGGGAATTGTCTTCTCTTGGTTCGTTTCTTTCGGATGTGGTGTTCTTTCCTCCATTGTGCGATGCACGCTATTGGAAATCTTGGCCATGGGTTCCAACATGTCAAAGGGGTCAGTCTTTTTTGCGCAAAACCGATGGAGTTGCAGCTGGTTGAATTCCATTACTTTCATCACGCTTCCTTCCGGCTTTGCCTGCAGGAACGGCGCAGTATCGCTGCTGTTGTCCTCCCTGTGCTTGATGCGTTCGCAAGATTGCACAGAGGATGAGGATGTGGAAAAGGTGCTGTTTCTCTCAGTGGCACAGCAGTTACCTTTTCAAGGCTTGGGGTTGGTCCTTTGGTTTGGATCGAGACCAACATGAGTAGCATCAGCTTGCCGCAAAAAACCACCCGTGGCTTCTCCCGCTTCGCATCCGCATGGAGGGACCACGTCCCAGAGGTGCCATCCTGGAATGCCATCGCTGGCTTACAGTCGTTCAGTTTCACCCCTGAGTGTCCATTGAGGTAAGAATATGTCCGAGTCATAGTATTTGGACTTGGTCACTTTTCCAAATTAATCGTCACAATGTCTTGAGCAAGAGTGATGATGCTCTATCCTCATGCTCACTGCAACACAAGTGACACCAACCAGCACAAGAAAAGCCTCCTCTCTTTGCCCTTTCCAGATGAGAGCCATTCAGATCCTCTGCCTGGCGCTTGTGCAGAGCTCCTATGCTGGCCCATTGGATTGCGCGGATGAGTCGGATCCTCTGGTCAAGACCTGCTGTAGTGCGCAGAGTGCGTGGTCTTCCATGGAAGCGGCCGGTGGATGTGGCGGTTCGGGCGCCACGGCCGAGCAGTGCTCCCAGGCCGCCGAGCTCTGCGAGCGCTGCCGCACCGCGGTGGAAGGCCACCGGGACGCGCCCGCGGATGGCGTCAGCTTGGAGCAGAAGCTCGGGTCCACGGGGGTGGAGGCGGAGGCAGATGGGACGGATGCGGATGGAACCAGCGAATTCTTGGTTGGTCAATCCCTGCAGAGAGGATTCATTCCACAGGTGGACACGGGGGGCAGGCGCTTACAGGAAATCGGCAATCCTCAGACTTTTTGAAGGGTCCACATGCGGGTTTCATTTGTTTTCAGAGAGGAAGGAAGATGTTTTTCAGACCTTTGTGTTTCCAACAATGCTCTTCTTCGTGGTCCTTGGCTAAGCTTTTCAAAGTCAGCTCTCCGCACCGCCCCAGCAACCTTTTCATGGAACAGAAACATCTACTTTGGCATGCACTCTCTAAACCAAGACCATAAAACTGCTCAATGTATGGTTCTTCACGTGCTTACGCACCGTGCCGCTTGCCTGTCGCCGCACCGCCTGCGGCGAGCACCGGACGCACGGTGTTTTTAACGCGTCGCTTGACGCGTCTCAGGAAGTTTTCCACCCTGGACATTAGCTTATTGGAGATGACCTGCCTCTTGCCCGAGGCACACCCACCGACTGTGACAGTCGGGTACCGATGTCCAAAGTTCTTGAGAGTCATTCGCCAAGAAGGCACCTGATGAGGGGCTTTGCTTCTACATTCTACTGTCGCAGAATTCTTCCATGAAGGCAACTGGTAACTATGAAGACCTTTTTGAAAGGTCGCGTAAGACTTTTTCAATGGGCTGGTGGTCAGAGTGAGCAACTCTTGCACTCTTGCACCCTTTGTTGGGCTTGGGGTGGAGGTAGTGGCCTGTGGTGCGGTGACCGGCCTTGGCTTCCTGGCCTTGTCGGGTGCCGGGCTTCTGCTGCTGCTGCTGGCGGCCGGAGGCCTAGCGCTGCTGGACCAGCGGACGGTGGCACCGGCAGCCCTCGCAAAGGCGCCGAACGGGACGCCGGCCACGCATTTGGGGCAGCTGGAAGCTCAGGATGGGGAGAGGCGGGAAGCTGAGGTGCCAGGTTAGGTCCCAGGCGAGGCACTCATGTTAACAGGGCTTGGTGGGGGTGTCATCACCGGGTATTTTCAGGAGGGTCTTTCCACTGAGGCCTCACTTGGTTCCAGCTGCAGGCGGGCGGCTGAGTCCTGTGACCAAAGAGTTCCGTCCTGTGTCAAGGGGAGACACCAGGCGTAGGCAGCCTCCAACAACAAAGACATAGACGGTCTGTATTGCACCCTGACGTCTCCAAACTCTTTCTTGCAAGATGGATCTCAAACCAGGTCAACGCCACGCAAATCTCGGAGTCTGCATTCGGTGCGTGCTCTTTTTCCTTGGTCAGGGGAAGAAGGGTGGGATGATGTTGGATGTGCTGATCAGTACCTCGAAAAATGCATGAACAGCGATGGTACTGGTACTCCACCACCGATCCTTTAAGCCCCGCCTTCGCTGCAGATGCTCTGCGGCTGGCCGCTGCGATGCCCAGTTCTGTAGCGGCCCCCAGCGTAGGACGGTGAGCCTTGGAAGGGGGGTTTCTGAGGATTTAGAGGTAGCCATGCTTTCAATCGCAAACATGATGTTTTGTTGAGTCGTTCAGTGGGAACTTGTTGCGTTTTTCAGATCAGCTTTGCAGGTGAACTTTCTTCAGTCAGGGTGTCTTTTCTTTCATCATCTCATCCTGCAGCCTAAACCTTCCACCCTACACCGCCGAAAACGCTCCAACCGTCTCTCCAGTCGTCAACGCTCTACGTCCTGCCACGGCGACGGCACCAGCCCCGAGGAGCTGTGGTGGCCGCCCTGGGACGCGTCTTCCTCCTGATCTCCACGCTCGCGCTCTTCGCTCGAGTGGACTGGACCCCCAGCGACCGAGAGAGAGAGAGAGGCTGGAGGTCGAGGTCGGATGGTGGAGGGTGGCTGCAGGGCCAGAGCTCAGAGGTTGTATTTTCAGATTTTGTTAGTTGGGGTGAGGGGGTGAGAGGGGAGAGGACAGAGTGCTCGTGGTCTTCAGGTCTTCAGGGTGTTCGTTTTCTGGGTCTTGGATTGAGAGGATTGCGTGGAGCCATAGGTCAGGCCTAAGCCTGTCCAGCCACATTCGCCCTCTCATCCATGTCCAGCGCCGTTTCTGCCTCACAGGCACTGATTGTGTGCTATTTGCTGCTTTTGCCCAGGTGACGCTCTCAGCCATTTGCGAACCGGAACGAAAGAGAACCGGAACGACCCATGGGTTTCAGTCTATGAAGCACGGAGTGTTTGGAGCGTTCCCACACTTGAATTCCGAGACATATGGGAACCAAACCACCGGGTGATCCGTCGTCCATGTGCGACCTCCCCAGTACGGTTGGGCGCCGCGACACCGAAGGAAAGCAGGTTGCCGGCATTGTTTTTCATGCCTTTGGTTGGTTGGCAACTGGTTTGGTTCCATTTTTTCCCCTTCTGATTTTCCTCTCCAATCTCCCTATCTCTCTCTCTCTCTCCTCCTTTTCATGCGTAGCCTGGTGGCCTAGCGACGGAGCCAAGGCAACATGACCTGCTTCACGCCATGCCAGAGCTACCTTTGGCGGTGTTGCCTTGGCTGTGGTGTGCTGGGGCCTAATTTTGTTGATGGTCCCTTTGCTTGACCAGCATAGAACCTAACAAACCAACAGGATCTAGATCCGGCTGAAGTATCGACATTAAGCCTGAACTTACATAGACCTCCAAGAGGGTGTCATTGGTAGTGCTCCGAACTTTTCAAGTGCGGTAGCAAAGCATTCATCGCCAACCTGAAAGACTCAATCCTTGGTTGTCTGGTGCTGATTCTCAACTTGATCGAGGTCAATGGTCCATGGTTGGTTTTCAGAGGTTTTGTGAGTGGGATTTGATCCTGTTGGTGCCATGATGAAAAGTTGTTCTTATGTTGATTTCCAACAAAATTGTGCATTCCTTCGGAGCTGTTGTCACAAGCCAAGGATTTGTTGGTGAATCATCGTGAGGACTCTATATGTCGCATCCGGATGCTAACACAGGAAGATCCTTTCCAATTCTTCAGCAATCATTGAAAGGCCGCTTCAGGTACTGTGGGAAATTCTCTCTCTCTCTCTCTCTGCCTTCAATCATGTTCAAGTACAGTGGGTTTCTAGAGTGACAAGGAGCTCTTTTTCAATCGACCATGTCGTGGCAGTCTGGTTGATCCGAGGTACGTTTCGTATTTGACACAACTCTGAAGAGTAGGGGCTGTAGAGCAGTCGCCAAACACTTTGCCAGAAACACACGGACGCATCAGTCGGGGCGCAGAAAAGCCATGACCGCATCTATGACTTATCAGAATATTTGTGAAGAAGGAGACTCCCCTCTCTTCAGACCCGCCGCCTGCACACCCAGCACCATGCCGGAACTGCTTGAGGTCTGTGGGCTTCGCTCGAGCCCATCGCGGATGGCCTTCTGTGGGCCCAGGCGAAGCCATGGGTCCTTTTGCAGTGAGGTGGTTGGCCACGGATCAAGACATTTGGTTGCCAAAAGGGTAGACCTCAGGTGAAAACACTTGACTTCGGCATGACTGTTGAAGAAGTCGAAGATGTACTTTGTCTAAAGTCTGGTGGATTCCAGGATTCGTACAGACTGAGCTGCGATGAGCATTCTATTTGCCACAGACAGTTGCTCTTCAGCCACCCCTCCAGACTTGACCAAGAACAGACCTCGGACGCTCTCAAGCCATGCTAGCCCAAGGGGTTCCTTCCCGTCCATTTGGCAAGGAAAAAACACACGGAGCGCCACCGAACCGTGCTCGGTGGACCTGCTCCGTTCGTCCAAACGGGTGCTCCGTTTCTTCGTGGTCACTGAGTCACCGTGGATCCCACCGTGGGTCGCTTGCCTCCGTCTTCCAGGGGAGATCCTTGAAGGGTCGGAATGGTGGGAATCGACCTCTTGTTCGTTCATCGACCTCTTGTTCAGCAGAAAGGGAGCGTCCCTGGAAAAAAAGGTGGCTACATCGACCACTGGCTTAGCTCTTGCCAGGTGTCCGCGCTTCATGACTTATGCTCTTGTGACGGTGATGGCTGAGCTGCACCTTGTTTCGAAAACAGGTGATGGTGTGGCTTTTTTCGTCATGGCACCTTTCCCTTCCAAATCATGGTAGGTTGAAATCTCGAACATAGAGGAATCTGATGGAATCTGTTCATTGTCGTTGGTCAACCAGGGTGCACGGGTTGTGACCCACAGCCAAATGACCATGCACAACTTGCTCGTCTCTTTACAACCTCCTGTGCCCTTGGTGCATTCTGGTATAAGCCAACCCCCTGGACATGGCCTCAGTCGAACTCTAGCTTGGTTGAGTCTGGCCACTCCAGCTCAACCAAACCCTCAGAACTTTCTTGCGTTTTTGGTGAAGGCTGCGATGATAAAATGGATGCGATGATATATTAACGAGGTCTTACGCAGGTGGACCGGGGTTTCTGGGGAGATGCGCCAAATCGCGACCACTCAGTGAGGCCTCACGTTTTTCTGGTTTTCCTTCAATGTCTAAGAGTTCGACTGTGGAGTGTGCGTCAATGGCTTGGAGGGCTTAAAAAGCTGCGAACAAGTGCCTCAGGTACAGTACCATCGTGCTGGGCTCAGGTGAATGGGGGGTGAACGCGACACTTGTGGTCAGGATGAGGCTTCAGCTTTCAAGGATCTCAGCTAGCACTGGTCTGAGAGTCTCGATCGCTCAGGGGGTCATGAAAGCTCCCACGAAAGGGCCAAAGGCAGCATTGGGCACCAAAGGGGGACCGAAGTGCAAAGTTGAAGCAGGCCAACTGCACGTAGGAGTGGCAGGAGTCTTCCCAGGGCTACACTCCGAGGAAGAACAACGAAAGAAAAGTGGTCTCTGAGTTCACCACCTGTTTGGTCTTCAGAAAAAGGCTCCTCCATCTGGAGGCCATGCCATTCATGTTGGCCGATGATTTCAGGGCTGCCGTACCATCTGCCACCAAACCTCCTGAAGTCGAGCGCCGCTGTCGCGACCCAGGTGGCTGCCATGTCCGTGGCCACGGCGCCGTGCGGCGCATCACCCTGGCGGGCCGTATTGGCCCGGCGGCCCTGGTGGGCGGTGGCTCTTGGCTTCTGGGGAGTTTCATGGATAGAGGCGGACTCTGGGAGTTTTGGATCTACACATCCAGAGCCAGACTCTTGGCTCAGTCTCTTAGCTCAGTGGGGCTTAGCCGAGGATGGTCTTTGCGCTTAGGAGTTCTGAGGAGTGTAGCTTCATTTACTCATCCTTCTGGGTCACCACTTTCCGATGAAGCAATCAGGTCAGGTCTAAAGCGCTCTGCCCTCGTCACATGCATGGAATCCGTGAAACTGACTGGTGCAGGATGGTCGCCTCCCCAATGTCACCATAAAAGACGCACATTCGTTCAACTCACTTTGGATGCTTTGTTTCCACCTTCCAAGTTTCAATGACATCACCTAGCCGCCCTAGCCTTGTTTCACTGCAGTTTTTTCAAGCTCTTTGATTCCACTTCAGAGTTCTGCAGCTTTTTCAAGCGTTCCGTGCTGAGCTCTACTGCCTGGGTGTGGTGGTCACGGTGCTCCGCTGCTACTCAGCCCTTTTGGCCGGGATTCTCGGTGACAATGACGAGAGCCGTTGATGTTACATCATCTCTCATGCGGAATATTAAAGTGGGTCTGACTCGCTCACTTGTTCTCTAAAAAGTCCTTACCTTTTTCTCCTAGAGATAAGGTGTCGCAAGAGGTGAGGAACCAATTGCTTGTGCATATCACCTTGAAAACTCCATCCTCTTTGGATCAGGGGGGCGTGTCGATCATCTCACTGGGCTGTGGTTTCAGAGTAGAAAACACATGGGAACCAAAGATGATTCTTTTAACTATAGGGGTCCATATAAGCTTGGGGATCACTCTGAAACCACTGCAACTGGGGTTCTTCTGGGGTCTTTCGACAGCACAGCTGGTCTTGCTTGGACAGCGTCGACCGCCCGGTTACCGGGCCCAAGGCCATGCGCTTCCAGGACGTGGCGGCTGGCGCGCACCGCCGAGTGGTGCCGCAGGACCTCGCCCGGGCTGCGATTTCGGGCTTCGGCGGTCGTGGAGCTCGGGTTGCTGAGGTTCGATCTGCCCAAAAGAGAACTGGACAGGCTCCTTTTGGGAGGAGTTGGTGGATAGGACATGTGGCTTTTCTACATCTTCCCCACCAAGGAAAAGAGAGAGAGAGAGAGAGAGCTTCGTGCCAGACGACTGTTGCCTTGTTGCCAGACGACTGTTGCCTGACCTGGCCTCTTTCGAACCTCTGATGTTTTCCATCTTTTCCATTCACTCCAGTGACCAAGTCACCCCTCACACCGAGCCGCTTCGCCGCTTCCAGCGCCCAGGAGACCGAGCCGGAGCCGGTGGCTACCGGTCCGGGCACCGATCCGCCCACCTGTGCACCGGGTCAGCGCGCGCGGCACGTGGTGCCCCGGCCCCGGGCTGAGGCGATATCCACTGCTGTGTGGAGGACTGGGATGGGATGGGGTGCCATGAATGGATATGAATGGTGAGGGATGGTGTTATTCTTTCTTGTTTGTTTATATTGTTCTTTTTTCAGATGTGTGTTGATGTGATTTGCTGGATTGCCACTCAGATAGCATTTGTGATAAGAGGGGCTCTTCATGCAAGCATGGTCAGCTGCTGTGTTGTCCGAAGCTATTTGCTCAAGGCCCTTTTGGGCCTGTCGGTTGCGTCAAGCAATGGAAGGGGTCATTCATACTCGATGCCCTTTCTGCAGGGGTTCATTTGCCTCCGCAGTCTTTGGATTGTGCACTCGAATCGTTCAATATCTGCATGGAGTTGTCAAGGAGGGCAGTACCCACCTTGCAACATCTTCCGAACAGCACGTTTCCCTCAAGACATTCATGTCCAGGGCTTGAGTTTTGGATCTTTCATTGAAGGTTTGGTTTGGAACCGGAAGGCAAGACAAAACCTGCTGTCGGTTCACTTTCCATGACTCCACTCCACTGCCGACATGCGGCACCCCCCGGGGCAGCACCGGAGCAGCGTGCCCGACCATGGCCGACGCTTCCGACTGTGGCGGCGGCTCGCCGCCGGTGCCGGATCTGCGGGGTGCGTTGCCGGTGCCCGGGCAGCAGCAGCGGCTGCTGGCGATGATGCAGTGGGTGGACGAGCGGCTGACAGCGGCCGATGTGAGGCGAGTTGGGGCACGCGGTGGGGCACGCGGTTGGGCGGCGTGCCCTGTGGAGTAAAAGTTGGGTGCTTCTTTTTGTTTGCAGGAGGTTCGATTCCGCTTATTCCGCATGGTGGTATAGGGTTTCTTAGCTAGTGCAGGATCCGTCCCGTTGAGAGCACCTTGCTTTTGTCCGGGCCCTTTTTGCCTTGCTTTTTCATTGTTTTGCGCGATGGACCTCCCATCTTCCCTCGGTTTTCCCTCGGTGTCACTGACGATCACGCCGTCACTGGTCAGGTATTGGATCACCGGTGGCACGCTGCTGGGGGCCATGCGACACGGCGGGTTCATCCCGCACGACGATGACATCGACTTGGAGATCTTGGAGGAGGATTTCCCCAAAGCGCAGGAGGCCCTCGCGCAGGCTGCTGCTGACATGCGCGTTTCGTGCCACGCATGTGAGCATGTGGCGGGAGGGAGCTTCAGCGTTTCAGCGCTGAATCTGAACATGCCATGGTCCTCTCAATAACCCTTGATCCTTGATATCAATAGATCGGGTCAATCACTCCCAGCATGCTCCACGGATGGAAAACCCCAGCCTGTCATCGGGTCCCCTGCTTCACGCTCTGATCTTTTTTCGCCTCACAGTGCGGGTACGCGCGCGTGGTGCGAAGAACATGGCCAGCTCGACTGCTCTGCAGGTGGGGCGTAGCTTCCGTCCCCTGGGCTGCTGGACGGGAAGCTCGGTGCGCATGGGCCGCCTCTTCTGCTGGGGTGGAGGAGGTGCCGACACCGAGTCGTTGGATGTGTTCCTGCGGGAGCCGAGACCCTTGGGTGCGCTGGCGGAGTTTCCAGGCGAGGAGGACCAGTCTGGAGGGGAGGGAGCGGAGAGGGAGTAATAAAAAAGGGGGGTGGGTGGTAGGGTGGGTGGGTGGGTGGGGTGGGTTAGAGACGCCACGCTGACTCTGCTGGACATGAGGTCCTCGTTGGTGTTCTGGAATGACTGGTTTCCTTGCCCTATGAAGTCATTCTTCATCGCCTCGAAACGAGCTGGGTCTCATGATGACCGGGTGAGTCCTAGCCGCCCATGCTGCAGGAGGTCTTCCCCTTGTGTCGAAGGTCCTTCCATGAGCTCCATCTCTGGACGCCCCACCAACCAGAGCCCTTCCTCGCGCGCTGCTACGGTGCCCGCTGGGCGGACGAGGTCGTGGTCTGGAGCCACGCGTCCCGCGCGCGGAAGATGCACTGCTTGAGCTTGGAGAGGTACTTGAGGGCCATTGAGGCGGCAGGCTACGAGGTGGGGTGAAATGGAAGTTTTGTTGGGACACGTGTGGAGTGTGGAGAAATGTTTTTTTTGTTTGCTGTGAAAATGGTGGCACATATGCAACCAAAATGAGAGACGGCACGAATCAATCACACACAGCATTGCACCGCCCGTCTCAGCAGTAAGTTCGATCCTGATGGTGATGTAGTCAGATGTGAACCCAGCCTCTCCACCTAAGTCCATCTACCCGGATCTCCAGTCAGCCACTGGATCTCCCCCCTTCCCAACAGAGGTTAAGTGACCTTATAGGATCCTACAGGGGTACCTCTAGGATAGTCTATAGGGTTCTTCAACCTCTGCTGGTCTGCCTACACTGGCTCCTTCCACCGGGTCTCCACCGAGGCGCCAACGGTCAGCTCGTCTTCGTCGGCCGAGAGTCTGGCTGCCGTGGGCTTGGAGTCTGGAGGCGAATTGAAAGACCACTTGTGGAGCTCCATGGGCTGGGCCTCGCCCTACGCCCTGGAGGAGGAGAGAGGGCCATCAAGAACCTGGGGTGTGGAAGGGAATTGCAGGTGAGAACTGAAAGGGAATTGGAGGTGCTGAATGTCAAGGGCGGGATGTCAACTTCAGCTGAAGGATGTCAACTTCATCTCCTGTTGTCTCTGCAGTCGGTCTTCAACAAAGCCTGGTGCGTCCTCGACTGAAGAGTCCCATCCTCGACTGCTGCAGGAGTCTCAGGGCCTGGAAGTGCTTGGACTTGAAGAACAGCTGTGGCCCATCGATGGGGCCGCGCACTGGTGTCGTCGCTTGAGGGAGCTGCGTGAGGCGTCTCCCGCGGATGAGGCACTGCGGGTGCTGGAGGAGGTGGCCGGGCCGCGGTTTCGGAGTGTTTGGAGTTGGTGTGTCTTTCTCATTGGTGTAGGGCTAGGGCTCCTGTCCCATATCCTCAGGTTCGGTGGTTAGACCTGCCTATTACCCACCCCAACCACCGAACCTCAGGAGGTGGGCCAGGAGCCCTAGGGATTGTAGGCCTTGGAATGGGAAGGGGAGTCCTTTTGGCCGCATCGTGACGACTGGGAAGAGTTGTGGTGCTCGGCCGTTGGAGCCCGATGTCTCCTTGACTCCTCTTCCGCAGAGTGGGTCGCATGCGACTGTGGGTGGAAGCGACAGTCAACTGACAAGTGGAAGGCTCCAAACAATCCCATCCGCCGACATCCGAACCATGTCCGATTTCAACATGCTGGACAGACAGCTTTTCGAAACCCAGAAAAGACCACACCCATCACCCCAAAACCGTGACTCAGGTGAAGGCTTCCACAGGCTGTTTTCTGGAGTTCATTGGTTCCGGCTCGACCTTGCGCGCGGTGGGCACGCCCGAAGAGCTCGCGAAGGTGGAGCCGATCTTGGAGAAGTGGCTGCGATGAGGATGGTATGCTCGCGCCCAACAAGGCCTGGCTTTTGGACTCTGGATTTCAGGGGAACAGAACACGCCGCCATTGGATGTGTCGAAAGGCCAAAGGTGCCTGATGCTCTGGGTATCCGGCTGTCACAGTTGGAGAAAAAAGTTGAGCCCAATGCAACGAATGGCATGGCTGCAAGTTGCAGACTGGCAGAAATGCACCTCTGTGATATGTACTGTATGTAGATTGCTGTCAGGAGACGCAGGCGCAGCCGGCGCAGCGCGTGCCAAGGGTTTGGTGGGCGACTCTGAGTCGCGGATGCGCATAGAACATAAGCCTACAAGTGGTATCAAATTGGATTGGGAAGACTTCTTGCAACTATGTGTGCTTGGGAACATACGAACGGAGCAGATTTGCGAACGGAAGCAACAACTCTCCAATGGTCGGGACGACAGCCAGCTGAACCAGCTTCTTGATGCCTCGGGCCCCCAGACGTTTGCTGGGGTGGCGTCTACCTGCTCCATGAGCAAGCCCTCTTGCTTCCCATTTCTTGGGCCCATGCCTCCACATCTCCGATGGTTCCTTCACCCACAAAGCTTTTGGTTGTGACCCGGCACCCGGCGGAGCCACAGCCAAGACTGTGGTCTCGACCTTTGTCGCTGGGTTGACGTCCTTCGTCGTCTCCGCTGGCTGTTTGGCAGCTCGAAGCTGGGTGCCGAGACCCGAAACCATGGGCAGACCTTAGCTCGTAGACTCGTAGGACTCGCTGTTCGCTCGCTGGAAGAAGGACTGAGAATGGGTCGTTGGTTGAGCAGTTCTCAAGACACGAAAGTTCTTTGGGTTGTATTTGTTCGGGGGTTCCGAGACAGCGCTATGGACCCTTGGCCGCGCCGCTGACGTTCTCATGGCAAGGTGGGGTGTGGGGTTCCACCGGTGACCGATGGACACCGGTGACGTTCTCATCCACATGGAGGCAAGATCTACTGAGATTCTACAAGATGAGACAAAGCAGAGTCTTTGTGAAAAGTAAACACAACGAGAAAACATCAATGGAAAGAATCGGCATCTAAAAAGCGGTCGAGATGTGTGAGGGTGAGTTTGGGTGGAGCCAGTTTTCGACCCATATGACAGAAGTACTATCTGCGGAGTGCGAAGTAAAAGCAAAGCTACCAAAGCTAACGGGGCGCGGCCGAAGCAACTATTTCAAACAGGCGAGCCAGCGCTGACTGCGGATGCGTCAGCGGTCTCAAGTCAAAGCCACCACATGGCAAAAACGTGCACCGACCACCATTTCTCACGTGGTCGAATTAACGGCCGGCGCTGCCAGCTTTGGCTCGGCCAAACTTGACCTTCCGGCGCTGCCGTTGGTCTTTGCGAAGGCGCTGCCTATGCTCCTCCAATCGCCTTTCTGCGTCAGTCTGCTTTAGTGACAGGCGATGGTTCTGGCAGAAGCTCTCCCAAAGCGTCCCTTTCATGCGCTTCGTGAGCACATCTGCCTGCTGCTGATGGGTCGGAACCCAGAACAGTTGGTATGCCTTCTGTTCCAACATGTCCTTGGCCACGAGGAGGTCAAGCATAGTCTGCCTCTCACTTGGTACGTGGCCTGTCGTGTGGACATGGTCGTAAAGACTCTTGGCGTCTGTGACCAGGCCGCCTTCATGGCGAAGCTTGGACCTCCAGTCCGCTGAGGGTGAGGTGGTATCACCGAACCACAACATGTCCAGTAGCGCCCTCAAATAGAGGTGCTTGTCCACTGCCAGGGACATGCTGTTGCTCTCTGCCGCCATTGAGCTTCTCACCACCCTGGTGCTTCGGGAGGTGTGGAATTCCAGCGGGGCTGCCAGCTGTGGCCCTTCCTTCACTCCATCAGTCGTGAGGAAGTGTATCGATCCCAGCTGGGACCGACCATCGGTCTCCTTCCCCAAGGAGGCGTCGAAGAAGCTCAAAACATACGGCCTCCCACGATTAGTGGGATAGCGCAGCTTGGCTCTGCCAGCTTTCTCTTCTTCCAGGAAGTTCTGGTGTAGCTTCACAGCTTCCTGAAAGTCCTTGTAGGTGGCCTGGTTGACTCTCTGAGCCAAGGAGCTGATCTCATACAGCTTGTGAGGCATTGCCAACTGAGCCGGCCATCGAAGTCGCATAGTCAATTGGCGGTATTGTGTCACGCCCTGCGTGTCCAAAGGTTCATCCGGCTTCTTCTTCTGCATCTCAGGGACCTTGATGTTCCGAATGTAGGCTCCCATGTTGTCGCAGAGGCCCCCTTTCTCAGCCTTCTCCAGATCTACTCCCAAAAAGGTCAAGGGAGTCTCCTTCCACTCCTTGATCTTGAAGAGCTTGTTTAGTTGTGCCTTCAACTTGACAAATCGACTGTCATTTGGATCTCCCAAAAGGAGTCCATCGTCGACGTGGAGGCACAGGATCGCCCAGCTGATGCCGCCTTCACTGGCCGCAAATGTGGCCTTGGCAATCGGGAGCTCTTTCAGCGGCGTCTGGCTGATCAATTGCACCGCCCGAAGGTACCAAAGCCTCGGAGCTTCCGTTAGGCCATATGCGCTCTTGAGGATGCGCAGAAGTTCAAAGGGCAATATGGCACTCCAGCCCTCCGCGGCTGGCAAGCCCTCAGCTGGAGCCTTCACGTAGATCTGACGATCTGTCTCCAGGCCCGACAAAAATGCCGTCGTGACATCAAAGCTCCAGCAGATCCATGATCTGAATTGGCTGATGGCCTTCGCCATCCTCACAGAGACCAGGCTGGTCGTGGGCGCGTCCGTCCGGAAAAGGCCCAGATGCGGGTCCCGATGACCCGGGATCACCAGCCTGCTTTTGGCCAGAAGAGGAAGCAACATCTTCTGCTGCTTGTTCACCCGCACCATCCGCATGGGGCTTTTGAACACCGCCTCTCGAGGCACTTTTCTCTGTTCGTCGGGGCTCAGCCTTTTGATCACTCCATTCTGTATCCACTGAGCCCACTCTTTCTTGTCCGCCTCTGCGAACTTGGACCGTTCCTCCTCGCTGAAGAATCTCGGGTCCAGCTCTTTTCCACTGGCCTTCATGCGAAGCAACATCACTTCGCTCATCAACACATCCTTCATCTCGGCCAGCCATTCTCGTTCAAAAAGCTTCCGTTGGCGTGAACTCCAGCACACCTCATAGATCTCCCCATCTTTCTCAACATAGCTTCGGACTTTCTCTCCTTTCTTCTTTGGAGCTTCCTTGTAGTACATTGTGATCCCCTTCCAGGGGAACCCCGCTTTGCGACGCGGGTGTTGTCGCACCTCCTCGGTGTTTTCTTCAACCACAAAGGCATTTCGCGGATCCTTCCCCAGCAAAATGCTGAGCCGCGCTCTGCTGGCCATCTTAGGCGGCCGCGCTAGCCGCTTGCGGGGCTGCCGGTGCAACCGGGCTGCCGTGATGGGGAGCCCCGTGAGTTCCCGTAACAGCGAGAGCTCATAGCGGGAAACCCACTCATTTGCCTTCTCTTCTTCTTCGGTGACCAGCGTGCTCAGCATCACCTGAGTCACCAGGTCTTGAGACACTCTGGCTCTCTTGTTCGGTGGTGCAACCCCCGTATCATCATCATCTTCATGCAGCCGCTTCCGAATGGAAATTGGTAGATCATCCAGGAGATGGCGCTGCCTCTCCTCCGTGGTTTGCCGTCTTAGCAGCTGCTGAAAATCCTCGTCGCTTGGTGCCACTGCTTCTTCTCGATTGGGCTCATCATCAAATTCATCCATTGGCACAGGGACATCCTCTGGTCTCACCTCCCGTGCAGGAGGTGGCAAAGCCAACGGCGCAGCCGGGCGTAGTGGTTCTGGCGCAGCCAGGGGCATCTGATCGCCACCAGCAGGTGGACTTGGTAATGCCCTTCTTCGCTTCGGGCTCGGCGCTGCCGGCACGCGAGCATCTGCCAACGCTCTCCTCCTCCGAAGCATCTGGGCGGCTCGCTGAACCTGATCCTTCAAAAGGTTCCTTACCGTCCTTGAGCCTCTCATCATCAAGCGTGCTCGCTTGCTCTCTTCTGGCTCAGGCGGTCTTGTCGATGCATCTACTGCCGCCCGTCTGGGTCTCTTACGTGGTGGAGGAGGCTGTGGTCGTAGTTCCTTGTACATGTTCTGTCGGCCTCCATCCCTGAGCATATCACCGACACCATCCATCTCTTCACGAACGGGCTCCGTCAGTGCCAGCTCTTCTCTCGTTGCTAGCCTCATGTTCTCTTCTGCCAGCAACAAAAGCCGTCCCCGCCAAGAGACAAAATACTTCTTGGGTTTCTCCCTGATGAGGACAGTGGCTGGGCCACGCCATGCACCACCCTTCTTGTAGCGCACCCCCTTTTGTGTGCTAGGTGTCCAAAAATAGACTTGCGCACCAGGAATGAAAGGTCCAGAGTGGGAAACAGCCGGCTTCCGCAAAACGGCTCTCCGCACCTTCTCTCGTACATCATTCCTCAAGAGGGCAATCCGTGCAGTTGTCCGCATCTTATGCGCTCGGGACACCTCACTGTCGACAGAGACGCCCTCTGCAAAGGACATCTTGGGGTCCTCATCGTTCAAGGATGGCCACCGGGTCTCATACCCGAACACTCGTTGGTTTGGCGTGTAGCCATCCTTTGTGAGCGTGCCATTCTTGGCGGCTACTGTCGCAGCCAGTCCTTCTTTGAGGCCCTTATAGCCTTGCAGACTGTGTTCCTGCACCACGGCATCGAGCATATCTCCAAGGAGGCCTCCATGCCTCTCTCCAGCTGCCAGCTGCCATCCGGCATGAGCAGCGGTCACCTCACTCGGGATGCTAAGCTGCTCCAAGTAAAGGGTGAAGGTCCGCTCGAATTCTCCTCCTTGGTCTGTTGTGACCTTTCCAGGGACTCCGTACAAGGAGATCCAGTGTCGGAAGAATTTCTTGGCGATGTAAGTACTCTGCTTGGACTTGACCATCACCGCATCATGCTTAACCGTCCCCAAGTCCAGCATTGACAAACATGTGTACTTTTTCTTGCGGCAATCGTACACATACTTGAGGTCCAAGTGCAC